CCCCAAAACCCCAAAACCCCAAAACCCCAAAACCCCATGAAGGTTTCTCTAGCCACATCAATTTAGGATGAAAAAGTAATAGATAATAATTTTAAGAGTCATTCATTATTTTTGTCATTATTAATAATAAATAGTAAAAGGTACTACTCATAGATATGTTAAAGAAAGCAGCACAACAACAAACCCTTAAGGACTTGAATCAGAAACTCACTGAAAGACTTAACAAGAATGTCGAGGAAATTGACAAGCTCATGAAGAATGCTAACGTTCCCCAATACACTGCAGTTCCAGATATTGGAGTTTTACAAAACCTATTAGGAGAATGCGAGGATTCAGAGTTCTGGCACAACTTCAAGAAAGCAGCCCCAATTCTTTTCTGCTCAGCAATTGAACACGATGTTGGCATGAAGCAACTCAGAGACATGAGTTTCATTGAGGAGTTATTGAAGACCAAGTCAATTATGAGATTAATGAAGGATAAGGTAGCCAAGGGCGACGCAGATATCGATATTGTAGAGTATTCCCTCGCCACCAAGATGCTTGAGAACAAACTTCAAGTCCTCCAAGCCCTTAACATCAATGTCGAGAGCTCAGAAGACCAAAACAAGATCACCTTGAATGTGCACGGCAGTGGCAAGTCAATTGAAATCGATTTAGTTAAGTTGAGAGAAGCCATCACCATCCATGATAAAAAAGTTGAAGAGAAGGAGGCTATTGTTGAGAATAAAGCCATCGTTGAACATATCAATATTGATAACATCACTGATGAGGAATTCTTGAAGCTCGCAACTGAGAAGATCCTTCCCCTTCAAAAGACTGCTAACAAGACCTTGACTAAGGAGTCATTCATTAAGATCTTCAAGTACACTGGAGATTTCGCAAAGATCAAGGCTAGAGAAGTAAAGTCTAAAGCTTAGGAAAGAAGATGTGCTGAATTCGGAAAAGATGCCAAGAAGTATCTTGATGCCCTTAAGCAAACTGTCCAAGAAGAGGAGCAAGCTTATGAAAAATCATCATAGGAAATGTTCGAGAAAATTTGCATTACCCCAGAGATGTTCGAGAGAAGTCAACAAGAATTAATGATGGACCCATACGTCTCAATGGAGCTTTTCAATATGGGAATCAGCATGGAACAACCATCAGGAGAGGCACCAGCTGAACTCACCAATGAAAAAACCGTCAGTTTAGTCAAGGAGAGCAACAACTTCGCCTTCGACCTCTTCAAGAAGGAATATCTCGATCAACTCAGATACGATCCAATGATGATGCCAGTCTTAATCAGTGCTATCGCTCACGATTGGGTTTACAAGAATCACGGATTCACTGAAGACTAATTCAAGGCTGCATTATTCACTCACAAAATATATGAAGACCCAGAAGTTGCTATGCACATGCAAACCAAATAAATGGAACTCTTACAGCTAAGCGGCGGCTTCAACCCCATGATGATGGGCATGGGCGGAATGGGTGGAATGGGAGGTCCTCCTCCTATGGGTCCACCAATGGGCGGATACGGTGGTGCCGGTCCCTATGGCGGTCCAGGTCTTTTCTGAGATTATCTTGTCTAAGATTGAACGAAGAAAATATGTTTTATATAAATTTGATTAAAATATTTATTTTAAATCTGTTTTCAATAATAAATCAAAGAATCTCTCTTATTTTTGACCACTTGGGGTTTTGGGGTTTTGGGGTTTTGGGGTTTTGGGG